CAAAGTCAAACAACCTCTATCTCTATTAGCTTAGTGAATAGTAAGGATGATATTGTATTTTCTGTGAGAAAAGTCAGAATAGGTAACTATTATCCAAACCAAAATACATTCGTTAAGTCAATCTCCTTGAGGAATCCAAGAGGCTAAGTAGTTAATTTGCTCATATTGACAGACGAAATTTATGCTACTATAAATCGAATGTAAAGTTCAGTTGGCTATGAGTGTCATTTATATAAATGAAAAATAAATATGTTGTAAATTAGTTGTCAACTGGGATGCATATGGTTATGATTTTTCAGTAACAAGTCATACATGGAAACCAGAAATTCCTTTTATACAGCTCGTTAGGCATTTTATTTGTTCATCACGTGTCCAGGTTCTAATAAGAAACCTTAGCCTGCCTGATTACATTGTTCAAAATCCTCTTAGTCGTGACGTTGACGTAAATAAATGTACAAACACTGAAAGAGAAGACTGATTGTCATTTCAAATTACCAGCTCAATTCAACCAGGTAACGTTAAATTGTAGTTTACAACATGCTTGCTCAATCGAACTCGAATTAATCATAATCAATTGGTCAGTCACTGTGATAACACGTGACAAGGCACTTCATTATTCTTATGGCCAATCCACTATTTGAAAGCTTTAAGTTATGATATTGTCCTGGTGTTAAGTAATATTACTTCAGAGTAGAGAGCCTACCGACTATTTCCTTATAAAAGAATCATGTTTTGTGTATTTGATTTAAGAAACTGGACACCATAGCTTTAGGATCAAAATCACATATTATAGTTATCAGGCAATAGTAGGCTTTGATTTATTCACATGAATTCGTTACTTGAATTAACTGAAATATATGATGGGTCATGAATCTACCCTAAACTAAGATGTCTGGTTGCTCTGGCTGCCGCAACAGTTGCTCCTAGAGACCGGTTGGAGAAGACAACGGCATTCGCCTCTATTCCCCCCTCATCATCGTCATCTTCCAGATCGCCTACATTCATTGTCTCATTGTATTTCAAATGATCGTTAATTTTCAAACCGCTAGATGAATGTATGCGCTTTGTACGGCTTGGTATATGACGACGATTAATTGCGGATGCTCGGGAGGCTCGACTGCCATTGATCAATGCGGAAGCAGATCCCGCTGCTACAACAAGACTGGCGTGTGTGCAAGCTTGTCGAAGACGGGTAACCAGAGCTACTAGACGCCAGTGAGCATCTCCAGGAAGTTGGCTGATAGGAGTGTCTTGGGAGACTGTGGCTTCACTCACAAGCAGACGATGCAATGCGGCGCTTGATTGAGCCAGCACGCGGTCGTGGATGAAACGCTCTACAGGAGTGAAAGCCACCCTAAATATGAACATGTAATTACAAAAAAAGGATAATTGGCAAGTTTTGCGACTTGAATGAGACCTGTAGTAACTATAGGTTGCATGAGATAATGGAGGACTGATAATATAATTATCCTATAATGCTATGAATAGGCCTTACAGCACAATTTCATTAAACCCAGCCTTAGTTCCCAAAAGATGCTCTCATCCAGAGAGGACTATAAACTTTTACCTCGCCTAAGTATCATCAGCACCCAAGGTGTTGCAGTGTATAATTTCAACGCTTTATACTACGCCACACTGACATAGATGCCAGTGGCTCATAGAACAAAGGCGACTTAAAAGGCAAAACATACCTCTCTTGTATCACACTTAGTGGGGTTGCTGATGAGGCAAGTATGTATATAAGACATTACAAAAGATTAAGTTATGCTAGTAACTGCAGGATATTCCAAATTTATTTAGATTCCACCAGCGGCAAGCCCAATTGGTCATGCCCTAG